TCGTGCTGGGGATGTGGCTCAGTGGCCCAGTGCCCAAGGGTTCCCTCTTTGACACTCCCTTCCCCTCAAAACCCCACCATCTGCATCTACAGGGGGCAGGAGGTGGTGGAGGGACGACCCCAGGACCCGAGCTGTGCTCCTGCCTCTGGCTGTTGGTGGCACAGGCTGCGCTGACTTTCTCCCGCTTGACAATGTGGACTTTCTGACTGTTCCAGGAGGGACACGCTGTGCTTGTTTAATAAAAACAAACAAAATACAGAGGGGCTGTTGGTTCTGTGGGTCACAGGCTCCTCTGGGCCTCCACCGGTCCCAGGTTCCAAAAGAGACCTGCCCTTCGACCTGCCCGTTCCTCATGTCCTGGAGTGAGCGCCAAGGCGGGCTCAGTGGCCGCTGAGCTCCCCAGGCCTGAGAGAGGACAGGCGCGGCTGGGGGCCCGGGCTGGGCAGGGACGAGGGGGCCCAGATCTTCCACCCAGCTCCCCTGAGGACCAGAGCCGGGCAGTCCCGCGGTGGAGAGGGGAGACTGAGGCCAGGGAGGGCACCTAGAAAGAGGCAGCGTCGCTCACAGCGGAGGCTGCTGCGTCCGAGGCCCGTCTGCTGGGACTGGGCGCTGGGACTGGGTGACTTGGGACAAATCCCCTCGCACTTAGGGGCCAATTTCTCTGGCAGGCCCAGTGGGAATCGTTCTGCCTCCTCCTGAGCCTTGAGCTGTCACAGGGTCTGTGCAAAGGGGCTCCGGGTCCTTCCAGTGACAGCCAGGGGACACTGATACCACCCGTGGAGAACTCGGGTGCCGAGCACTTGAAGGCCTTTTGAACCCAGCCTCCCCTGGCCAGCGGACCTCTCCAGAGTGGCCTCAGTTGTGTTTCCCATCGGGGGCCACCGCCTGCCCCTCCCCTTGAACTTGGCCGTGACTCTGACTGCCCCTGGGAACAGGAGGCAGAGGAACCCTGCCCGGCGTGACTTTGTGTGTCTTCTGCCGACACTGTCCCTGGAGATTCTTGCTCTTGGAGCCCCGGCCACGCGAGGGGGCAGATGTCATTGTCCGGGGGGGTGACAGTCTGCTATGTGGGTAAAGGAGCTTCAGTGACTCGCGACCTCAGCCTTCGAGTGGCTGCTTCAACGCCCACAGAGCAGAGCTGAGCCTCTGCTGAACCTGTCGGTGGCCACAGAGGCGTGAGCGTTTGGGTCGGCTGATTTGTCACTGTGACCCAAACACCCGACAGGCACAACGGAGAGGGGGAAAGGTTTATTTGGGCTCATGGTTTCTGAGGTTCAGCCCACAGTTGGCCGACTCCATGGCTCTGGGCCCAAGTGAGGCAGGACATCACAGGTGGGGGGACAGCCGCCCTGGTGTGGCACCGGGGAGCAGAGAGGAGAGCTCCACTCACCAGGGACCCAGCCTGAAGCCCACGGCACGTCCCCAGGGACCCCTTCCTCCAGCCACACCTGAGGACAGTCACCCCCAGTTCACCCTCCTCAGTGGATCGATCCTCCGATTGGGTCCCGGCTGTCACCGTCCCAGGGCTCCCGCTCCAGCACCCCTGCGTGCTCACACCTGAGCGGCGGGGGACGCCTCCGGTCCAGACCCTCACAGTGCGCCAAGTTGAGTGCCTTGTGACCCAGTGCAGGGACCTAGACCCCGGGCCCCGCCCACGGAGGACCCTTCTCCCCGCAGACGCAGAAGCCGGGTCTCACCTGCCAAAGGGGCAGGATCAGGGTTCAGCCCTGGGGCCCCCTGAGCGCTGGGTCCGGCTCACAGCGGAGGCCACGCCCACCCCGACTCGTCCTGAGGCTCTGGGTCTGGGGGTGGAGGCAGCTTACGGGGGACCCCAGGTCTGTACCGCGCTGTTCGGTCCCGAGGCCATCACCTGGCAGCCATTGACAGGCGCATGGTGAGGTCCTGGCAGGAAGTCCTGGGGCTGAGGACAACCCCGGGGGACAGTCTGTCAGAGTCCCCAGGAGGCCAGATGTGAATCTTTGGAGCAAGTAATCAGTGTCCCCTCCACATCCACCCTGGGCCCTGAGATGTGGGGCCAGAGGAGCCTCGGACGGCAGGAAACTGGGGTCCAACTGATGACAGCCGGCCAGCAGTGGGGACCCAGTCTGGTGACAATCCTCTTCTTCTGAATGCAGATACCTGATGAGCCCAGATGGGCTTGTGGTCCCCCTCATTCCCAGGAAGAGATCAGTTTCTTTCAGGACCAGAGATCCTGGCGTGGCTCTGGGCTGTGGCCTTCCTGGTGGACATGAGTTTCCTGGTGACCTAAATGAGCCCTGAGGACCCTAAACCCCAGTGACTCTGACGCTCCCCTGGTTCATGGCGGGAAATGGATTCACTTGGCTAATGGCCAGGCTGGGCAGGCAGTGGGCAGGGGACAGGTGCTTCGTGCCCACCAATGTCCAACCCCCTCTGGTCACTTCACCCCACATCAGTGCCTTTGGGTCCCACGAAGTTGACCTGAACCCACAGCTCCAGGCCTGGATCCATGGCCCAGTCGGATGAACCCAATTATCCCATTCCTCTGGCTATAGTGACCAGTCCAGGAATGGCCTTGTGACCTAAAGTGGAACTGTCCCCAGAGGTATCAGGAAACAGGCAATCCATTTCAGGGATTGATAGATTGCAGCTGCTGCTACCAGCGGTGGTAACTGTCAGAGGGTGAAGCCCACAGAGGAAAATCAGGGCCTGGGGCGGGAGGCGCGGGAATCCCAGTAGCATTTAAACACCTAGATCCAGCCATATCTGAAGCCAGACCCCTTGAACTTTTCAGTGACACTGGCCAATCAGCTCCTGTTTCGCACGAGCTGAGCAACAGTGAAAGTCTTCAGATGTCATTAGTGTGTTCTCCAGGCTCCGTCTCCATGGTAGCCACAGGCTGGCAGAGTCAAGTGACCTGGCCTCCAGCTCCAGCTCCCTGCCCGCCTCAGGAGTGGGGATTATTGGTTCCATAAACGCTCGTGGAAACTGCAGTGAGCCTGAGCACAGGACAGGCGGCACTCAGATCCTAGCAGAGGGGAATGGTGACAGCTGTCATTTATTGAGCACATAATGTGCAGCAGGCTCTGTGTCAACCCCTTTCCGGGGATGAGCTTTTTAACCTCTTAGGCAACATGACTAGGCAATGAAGAAGAAGCCGAGGGTCAGAGGGAGGTTGAGCAAATTGGGCAAAACCACACCCAACAGGCACAACCAGGATTCCAGTCCAGACAGACTGGCTCCAGTCCACCCTCCACAGAGAGGAGAGGGCAGGAGGTCTGATGGGACAGCAGGGACAGGGACAGGGCAAGGGAGAAGCTCTCCTGGGCAGAGCCAGCTCTGTCATCTCTGGGCCCCGGACAGAACGCAAGTGGCTTCTGAATAGGTCATGAACGATGATACCGTCTCCTCCCGGCTCGTAGCCCTCAGCATCCCTGTGAGACACCCGGCTGCCTGAAGCCACCAGGGCAGCCCAGGTGCTACAGGGGAAGGAGGAAATGACACTCAGCACAGAGGTGATCTGTCGGCAGCCACAGTGACTGGAGCAATAAGGAAACAAGGAACAGCAAAGCTCTGGAAAGTGAGAGCAGCGTGTGCAAAGGTCCTGAGGCAAAGCACTGAGAAGGCAGAGCTGAAGGGAAGGCACAGAGGTGGGCAGGGCCGGCTTGGAGACTCTGGGGCCCATTTTGGGTCCCAAGCAGACGGGGCACACCACCACATCCACTGGGCACTTGTGTTCCTGCCTACATCCCTCCTGCAGAGGGGTAAAGCTGCTTCCTCATGTGATTTTGGACAAATCACTCAGTTGCTCCAGGTGGAGGTCAGTTTTTCCCTTTTATAAAATGAGGAGAATAAAGCTCCGGCCTAACTGGGATCATCAACCTGCTCCGCCAGCACCGTCCTCGTGACAGCGCCGCCCACTCTGGGCTGGGCTGCACCCGGCACTGGGGTGTGTGCGTCTGGCCCTGTAGCAGTGCGCTTCCCCCTCGCGGGGCCTCGTCCACCCTGGAGGGAACTGAGGCAGCGCTGGCCCTGCGCACACAGGAAGGCCAGGCCCTGCTGGTGGCCAGAGCCCCACACCTGACTCAGTGTCCCCAGGCCCCCAGGTGAGCCCTGTTCAGGAGGACCGCTGCCCGTTCAAATCTCCACCAGGATTCGGGAAAACACAGCACGGCACAGCCCAGCCCGGTGGACCGCGGGAAAGAGGCAGAAACAGAGGCCCACTGACCTGGCCGTGTTGGCCCGGCAACTGTGGCCCCAGGGACACAACCTGCCCTCCTGGGATCTGAGCTCCGTGGGCTGGGGGCGGAAGACACACC